CAAGGTGAAGCCAGACTGAAGCCAGCTGGCAGGGACATGGGTTCTTTATATTATTCTCTCCACTTTTAAAAGTTAGAAAGTTCCCCAAAGTTAAGTCCACATAGACAGGGAGAATCTCTTCATTTATAAACCCTTTCATATATTTTGAATTTGAAATGATATGACTATGTTAACTATTCAATAAATAAAATCATTTTAAATTTGAGTAAAAGACCATATTTAATAAAACAGTTCTTTTTAAGAAATGTCTTCAGTCTTACATGAAGTTCTACAAAACGCTTCCCCCTAGCATAAAATACCACCACTGATTTTAAATAAGTAATAAGCCAAAAGTTCCTTAACAAGATTTTAGTTCCTTGAATCTGCTAAACAGTGACTGCAACCTTCCAGGAGGCAAACTGTACACTGCCCTTACATTGTTACAAAGATAAGGAACTATTCCTAAAAATGCATTGAAAATTAACATCTTAGACAAATATGAGGCATTCTTGTTATAATCTAGTTCACATGCCAGAGTGATCCCAGACTTTCCATAGATTGTGAATCTCAAGCTGGTTTTTAACTTTAGTGAAAATTGGTTTCCAGTTCTCAAAGCCCCCAGACAGGATGCCACCATGTCAGTTCCTCATATAAATTCTTCCATCACGATCCATGGCAGCAAAGGAAGAGAAATGACGAGTGGGGAGCAGAAGAGAAAAACAGAGTTGAGAGGAAAGCCAGCTGTCTAAATGGACAGAAAAGGCAAAACAAAAACACTTGACGTTAAAACAACATCCAAAAAACACAAGCATCCATTAGCTTTCAAATACTTTTCCATCCCTCATGCTATATACGAAAATAAGCTCAAAATTGTACCATAAAACTAAAAGAGAACATAGGCCAAGCATTCTCTAATATAACAGTATCTTCTTCAGTCTCCCAAGATAAAATAAAAGCAAATGGGACCTAATCAAGCTTATAAACTTCTGCACAGCAAAGAAAACCAAAAACATAATGAAAACATAACCTACATGCTGGGAGAAAATACCTGCAAACATTTCCAAAATACACAAATAGCTCAACAACAACCCAATGAAAAAATATACATATCAAAATATGCATAGAAACAAATGAAAATGAAAACAACCTACAACCTATGGGACACTGTAAAAGTAGTGCTAAGGGGAAGGTTCATAACAATACACGCTTACCTCAAGAAACAAGAAAAAAGTCAAATAAATAACCTAACTACACCTAAAGCAACTAGAAAAGGAAGAAATGAAGAACCCTAGGGTTAGTAGAAGGAAAGAAATCTTAAAAATTAGGGCAGAAATAAATGAAAAGAGACCATAGCAAAAATCAACAAAGCTAAAAGCTGGTTCTTTGAGAAGATGAATAAAATTGGCAAACCATTAGCCAGACTCATCAAGAAACAAAGGGAGAAGAATCAAATCAACAAAATTAGAAATGAAAATGGAGAAATCACAACAGACAACACAGAAATACAAAGGATCATAAGAGACTACTATCAGCAACTATATGCCAATAAAATGGGCAACTTGGAAGAAACAGACAAATCCTTACAAAAGTGCAACTTTCCAAAACTGAACCAGAAAGAAATAGAAAAAAATTTTTTTCCATTTATTTTTATTAGTTGGAGGCTAATTACTTTACATCATTGCAGTGGTTTTTGTCATACATTGAAATGAATTAGCCATGGATTTACATGTATTCCCTATCCCGGTCCCCACTCCCACCTCCCTCTCCACCCAATCCCTCTGGGTCTTCCCAGTGCACCAGGCCCGAGCACTTGCCTCATGCACCCAACCTGGGCTGGTGATCTGTTTCACCCTAGATAATATACATGTTTCGATGCTGTTCTCTTGAAACATCCCACCCTCGCCTTCTCCCAGAGTACACAAGTCTGTTCTATACGTCTGAGTCTCTTTTTCTGTTTTGCATATAGGGTTATCGTTACCATCTTTCTAAATTCCATACATATGTGTTAGTATACTGTAATGGTCTTTATCTTTCTGGCTTACTTCGCTCTGTATAATGGGCTCCAGTTTCATCCATCTCATTAGAACTGATTCAAATGAATTCTTTTTAATGGCTGAGTAATATTCCATGGTGTATATGTACCACAGCTTCCTCATCCATTCGTCTGCTGATGGGCATCTAGGTTGCTTCCATGTCCTGGCTATTATAAACAGTGCTGCGATGAACATTGGCCAGCATCACTTGTTAAAGAGCTTGTCTTTTTTCCATTGTATATCCTTGCCTCCTTTGTCGAAGATAAGGTGACCATAGGTTCGTGGATTTATCTCTGGGCTTTCTGTTCTGTTCCATTGATCTATATTTCTGTCTTTGTGCCAGTACCATACTGTCTTGATGACTGTGGCTTTGTAGTATAGTCTGAAGTCAGGCAGGTTGATTCCTCCAGTTCCATTCTTCTTTCTCAAGGTTACTTTGGCTATTCAAGATTTTTTGTATTTCCATACAAATTGTGAAATTATTTGTTCTAGTTCTGTGAAAAATACCGTTGGTAGTTTGATAGGGATTGCATTGAATCTATACATTGCTTTGGGTAGTATAGCCATTTTGACAATATTGATTCTTCCAATCCATGAACACGGTATATTTCTCCATCTGTTTGTGTCCTCTTTGATTTCTTTCATCAGTGTTTTATAGTTTTCTATGTATAGGTCTTTTGTTTCTTTAGGTAGATATACTCCTAAGTATTTTATTCTTTTTGTTGCAGTGGTGAATGGTATTGTTTCCTTAATTTCTCTTTCTGTTTTCTCATTGTTAGTGTATAGGAATGCAAGAGATTTCTGTGTGTTAATTTTATATCCTGCAACTTTACTGTATTCGTTGATTAGCTCTAGTAATTTTCTGGTAGAGTCTTTAGGGTTTTCTATGTAGACGATCATGTCATCTGCAAACAGAGAGAGTTTCACTTCTTTTCCTATCTGGATTCCTTTTACTTCTTTTTCTGCCCTGATTGCTGTGGCCAACACTTCCAAAACTATGTTGAATAGTAGTGGTGAGAGTGGGCACCCTTGTCTTGTTCCTGATTTCAGGGGAAATGCTTTCAATTTTTCACCATTGAGGGTGATGCTTGCTGTGGGTTTGTCATAAATAGCTTTTATTATGTTGAGGTATGTTCCTTCTATTCCTGCTTTCTGGAGAGTTTTAATCATAAATGGATGTTGAATTTTGTCAAAGGCTTTTTCTGCATCTATTGAGATAATCATATGGGTTTTATCTTTCAATTTGTTAATGTGTATTACATTGATTGATTTGCAGATATTAAAGAATCCTTGCATTCCTGGGATAAAGCCCACTTGGTCATGGTGTATGATTTTTTTAATATGTTGTTGGATTCTGTTTGCTAGAATTTTGTTAAGGATTTTTGCATCTATGTTCATCAGTGATGTTGGCCTGTAGTTTTCTTTTTTTGTGGCATCTTTGTCTGGTTTTGGAATTAGGGTGATGGTGGGCTCATAGAATGAGTTTGGAAGTTTACCTTCTTCTGCAATTTTCTGGAATAGTTTGAGTAAGATAGGTGTTAGCTCTTCTCTAAATTTTTGGTAGAATTCAGCTGTGAAGCCATCTGGTCCTGGGCTTTTGTTTGCTGGAAGATTTCTGATTACGGTTTCGATTTCCTTGCTTGTGATGGGTTTGTTAAGATCTTCTATTTCTTCCTGGTTCAGTTTTGGAAAGTTATACTTCTCTAAGAACTTGTCCATTTCTTCCAAGTTGTCCATTTTATTGGCATAGAGCTGCTGGTAGTAGTCTCTTATGATCCTTTGTATTTCAGTGTTGTCTGTTGTGATCTCTCCATTTTCATTTCTAATTTTGTTAATTTGGTTCTTCTCCCTTTGTTTCTTAATGAGTCTTGCTAATGGTTTGTCAATTGTGTTTATTTTTTCAAAAAACCAGCTTTTAGCTTTGTTGATTTTTGCTATGGTCTCTTTAGTTTCTTTTGCATTTATTTCTGCCCTAATTTTTAAGATTTCTTTCCTTCTACTAACCCTGGGGTTCTTCATTTCTTCCTTCTCTAGTTGCTTTAGGTGTAGAGTTAGGTTATTTATTTGACTTTTTTCTTGTTTCTTGAGGTAGTCCTGTAATGCTATGAATCTTCCCCTTAGCACTGCTTTTACAGTGTCCCATAGGTTTTGAGTTGTTGTGTTTTCATTTTCATTCATTTCTATGCATATTTTGATTTCTTTTTTGATTTCTTCTATGATTTGTTGGTTATTCAGAAGCGTGTTGTTTAGCCTCCATATGTTTGAATTTTTAATGATTTTTTTTCCTGTAATTGAAATCTAATCTTACTGCACTGTGGTCAGAAAAGATGACTGGAATGATTTCAGTTTTTTTGAATTTACCAAGACTAGATTTATGGCCCAGGATGTGATCTATTCTGGAGAAGGTTCCGTGTGCACTTGAGAAAAAGGTGAAGTTGATTGTTTTGGGGTGAAACGTCCTATAGATGTCAATTAGGTCTAGCTGGTCCATTGTGTCCTTTAAAGTTTGTGTTTCCCTATGTATAGAACAGACTTGTGGACTCTGGGAGAAGGCGAGGGTGGGATGTTTCAAGAGAACAGCATTGAAACACGTATATTATCTAGGGTGAAACAGTTCACCAGCCCAGGTTGGGTGCATGAGACAAGTGCTCGGGCCTGGTGCACTGGGAAGACCCAGAGGGATTGGGTGGAGAGGGAGGTGGGAGGGGGGACCGGGATGGGGAATACATGTAAAAAAAAAAAAAAAAAGATACACTATGGTTGTGATAAAAAAATAAATAAATAAATAAATAAATTAAAAAAAAAAAAAAAGTTTGTGTTTCCTTGTTAATTTTCTGTTTAGTTGATCTATCCATAGTTGTGAGTGGGGTATTAAAGTCTCCTACTGAAGTGGGGGAGCCGAGCGCGGCGCCGCGGGAGCTCGGGGCCGGACCGTGGCGACGGCGGCGGCAGCGGCGGCCCCGCGGCGGGAGGCAGAGGAGGAGGACGATGAGGAGCGACGGAAGCGGCGCCGGCTCCCGAGTGCGCGGCCTGCCCGCGGGTCTGAGATACTTGGAGAGAGCCACAATGGAAAAGTCCTGGATGCTGTGGAACTTTGTTGAAAGATGGCTGGTAGCTTTGGCTTCCTGGTCTTGGGCTCTCTGCCGCATTTCACTTTTATCTTTAATAGTGACCTTTCATCTGTATGGAGGCATTGTCTTACTTCTGTTAATATTCATATCAATAGCAGGTATTCTGTATAAATTCCAGGATGTATTGCTTTACTTCCCAGAACAGCCATCTTCTTCACGCCTTTATGTTCCCATGCCCACTGGTATTCCACATGAAAACATTTTCATCAGAACCAAAGATGGAGTGCGTCTGAATCTTATTTTGATAAGATACACTGGAGACAGCTCACCCTATTCCCTGACTATAATTTATTTTCACGGGAATGCAGGCAACATAGGCCACAGGTTGCCGAATGCCTTGCTTATGTTGGTGAACCTCAAGGTTAATCTTCTACTGGTCGACTATCGAGGCTACGGAAAAAGTGAAGGAGAAGCAAGTGAAGAAGGACTCTACCTTGATTCTGAGGCTGTGCTGGACTATGTGATGACCAGACCCGACCTTGACAAAACAAAAATTTTCCTTTTTGGCCGTTCCTTGGGAGGAGCAGTAGCTATTCATTTAGCTTCAGAGAATTCACATAGGATTTCAGCCATTATGGTTGAGAACACATTTTTAAGCATACCGCATATGGCCAGCACTTTATTTTCATTCTTTCCAATGCGTTACCTTCCTTTATGGTGCTAGAAAAATAAGTTCTTGTCCTACAGAAAAATCTCTCAGTGCAGAATGCCTTCTCTCTTCATCTCTGGACTCTCTGACCAGTTAATCCCACCAGTAATGAAGCAGCTCTATGAGCTGTCCCCGTCTCGGACTAAGAGATTAGCCATTTTTCCCGACGGGACGCATAACGATACGTGGCAGTGTCAGGGGTACTTCACGGCCCTCGAACAGTTCATCAGAGATGTGATGAAGAGTCCTTCTCCTGAAGAGATGGCCAAAGCGTCATCCAACATGACAATTATATGATGCTTTTCCTTTTCATTAATGCACTGTATTTTAATTTGTGCAGAATGATAAAAACAATACTCCTTTCTAGAAGTGTGTTATGTCTGTACTTGTCTGAAGAGTGACATTAAACTTTGAAAGGACTTCAGTGCTCCTTTAAAATGATCCAAATAGTTTTTTACATTTGAAAAACTATAATTATTGGGATTATTTCATACATTTTCATCAACCTTTTCAGTGTGGTTGCATATCCATATCTTTAGTTTAATATGCTATTATAGCATATTCAAAAGTTTCTTGTTGCTCAAGATGTACGTGTAATCCGTGTGACACTTAGATTAATGATTAAGTGTGGAAGGAGGCATGTAAACGAGAAACCTTTGGGTATTATTCCTTTAGTAAATATTGGGACAATCATGGTGAGCAAACTTCATTCTGTAATTGCATTTTTCACCTTAAAAATGAAAATGAAATGCATGGTGGTATTTTATTCTTTGACTTATGCAATGCACTGTTTTTAATGTAAATAGTACTGATCTATTTACATTTATCTATTTTTATGTAAACTCTATTTTGTTTTTAGCCAGAAGTGAAATTGAGGCCTGTGTGCCAGGTCGCCGTTGACTTTTGCTCTGCTGAATCCTGAGATCCAGCCTTTTCTTCAAAATAAATGGGACCCCCTTTTCCAGTGTAAATGTACCATGTTTTGTTAGGTACAGTCTGGATCATGGCATGTAAAAACAGAAATTGAGACTTTTACTGCAGCTTTGATGTGCATATTTGAACTTTTTAACATTTGTATCAATAATTTTGGTGGCAAAAAGAATTTTAGCTTCTGTCAGTTTTGTAAGTCTACAGCTGAACCACTAATAGCAGTCATAATGAAGATCAGAACGTGTTTTAAGAGTCAATTAGGAAGTCTTATTACATTATTGTACATACTGTTTTACAAAAATTCCTACATTTGCTTTTTTACATCCAAATATCTAGGTGGATCTATCCCACTGAAGCCAAGGTAACATTTATTGGACTTTCTGAAAATAGAAGTGACAAAAACAAAATTAAATGAAAATTATATTCTTCAGCTTAATGTTTCAATTATAAAATAGAGGCGCTGCATCAAAAGACAGCTTTAGGAAGTCTTATTTATTCATTTTCTACATGTGAGAATGTGTGAGTGAAAGAACTTTAGAGCTTTTTATCACAGAACCTATTACTACATTTATAAATGGCCGTAAGTGAGAAGTAGTATTTAGACATATAGAAGAGTAAGAAAAATCTTACTTTAAACAAGAGCCCCTTAAACTTAAAATTTAAGATTTACCTGAAAAAACATAAGCAGTCCTCAAGAATTGGAGGTAATTGAGATGTGTACGTTATTACGTCAGCTCTAACGTATGCTGTTTTGATTATTTTAGCTGTATTTATTGGCTTTGTGCAAGCAGTTCAGGTAGTGAAAGAATGGGTCAGTAATCTTGACCTCAGTTAAAAACTCTTTTCATGAAGACAGGGCTAGAGACACTTGCCAAATCACATTCTTGTCTCTTTCTGTCAGTGTTTAGGAAAAAATAAAACCCAGCAAGTGTGATTTCTCAAGGATAATGTTTTCTATAAATTGTAAAAACGTCATGCTTTTAAAAAAATTTTGGAAATGCATATCATAGAAGGTGTATTTTGTATGTATAAATTCACGACAATTAAAGGCTGCTTTCATCCTGTCAAAAAAAATAATAAAATAAAATAAAGTCTCCTACTATTATTGTGTTACTATTAATTTCCTCTTTCATACTTGTTAGCGTTTGCCTTACATATTGCAGTGCTCCTATGTTGGGTGCATATATATTTATAATTGTTATATCTTCTTCTTGGATTGATCCTTTGATCATTATGTAGTGTCCATCTTTGTCTCTTTTCACAACCTTTATTTGAAAGTCTATTTTATCTGATAGGAGTATTGCGACTCCTGCTTTCTTTTGGTCTCCATTTGCATGGAATATTTTTTTCCAGCCCTTCACTTTTAGTCTGTATGTGTCCCTTGCTTTGAGGTGGGTCTCTTGTAGACAGCATATATAGGGGTCTTGCTTTTGTATCCATTCAGCCAGCCTTTGTCTTTTGGTTGGGGCATTCAACCCATTTACATTTAAGGTAATTATTGATAGGTATGGTCCCGTTGCCATTTATTTTGTTGTTTGGGGTTCACGTTTATACGACCTTTCTGTGTTTCCTGTCTAGAGAAGATCCTTTAATATTTGTTGAAGAGCTGGTTTGGTGGTGCTGAATTCTCTCAACTTTTGCTTGTCTGTAAAGCTTTTGAGTTCTCCTTCATATCTGAATGCGATCCTTGCTGGGTAGAGTAATCTAGGTTGTAGGTTATTCTCTTTCATTACTTTAAGTATGTCCTGCCATTCCCTTCTGGCCTGAAGGGTTTCTATTGATAGATCAGCTGTTATCCTTATGGGAATCCCTTTGTGTGTTATTTGTTGTTTCTCCCTTGCTGCTTTTAATATTTGTTCTTTGTGTTTGATCTTTGTTAATTTGATTAATATGTGTCTTGGGGTGTTTCGCCTTGGGTTTATCCTGTTTGGGACTCTCTGGGTTTCTTGGACTTGGGTGGCTATTTCCTTCCCCATTTTAGGGAAGTTTTCAGCTATTATCTCCTCGAGTAACTTCTCATGGCCTTTCTTTTTGTCTTCTTCTTCTGGGACTCCTATGATTCAAATGTTGGGGTGTTTCACATTGTCCCAGAGGTCCCTGAGGTTGTCCTCATTTCTTTTGATTCTTTTTTCTTTTTTCCTCTCTGCTTCATTTATTTCCACCATTTTGTCTTCTAACTCACTTATCCTATCTTCTGTCTCTGTTATTCTACTCATGGTTCCCTCCAGAGTGTTTTTATCTCATTTATTTCATTATTAATTTTTAATTGACTTTTTAAAAATTTCTTCTAGGTCCTTGTTAAACATTTCTTGCATCTTCTCAATCTTTGTCTCCAGGCTATGTATTTGTAACTCCATTTTGTTTTCAAGATTTTGGATCATTTTTATTATCATTATTCTAAATTCTTTTTCAGGTAGTTTCCCTATTTCTTCCTCTTTTGTTTGACTTGGTGGGCCTTTTTCATGTTCCTTTACCTGTTGGGTATTTCTCTGCCTTTTCATCTTGTTTAGATTTCTGTGTCTGGAGTGGGCTTTCTGTATTCTTGTGGTCTGTAGTTCCTTTTTATTGTGGAGGTTTCACCCAGTGGGTGGGGTTGGACGATTGGTTTGTCAAGGTTTCCTGGTTAGGGAAGCTTGTGTCAGCGTTCTGGTGCGTGGAATTGGATTTCTTCTCTCTGGAGTGCAATGGAGTGTCCAGTGATGAGTTTTGCAATGGGTCTATGTGTTAGGTGTGACTTTGGACAGCCTGTATGTTGACACTCAGGTCTATGTTCCTGCGTTGCTAAAGAATTTGCGTGGTATGTCTTGTACTGGAGATTATTGGCTCTTGGGTGGTGGTTGGTTTTGGTGTAGGTATGGAGGCTTTTGGATGGTCTCTTATTCCTTAATGTTCCGTGTAGTCAGGAGTTTTCTGGTTTTCTCAGGTTTTGGGCTTAAGTCTCCTGCCTCTGGATTTCAGTTTTATTCTTCCAATAGTCTCAAGACTTCTCCAACTATACAGCACTGATAATAAAACTTCTAGGTTAATGGTGAAAAGATTCTCCACCGTGAGAGACACCCAGAGAGGTTCACAGAGTTACACGAAGAATAGGAGAGGGAGGAAGGAGATAGAGGTGAGCAGGAGGAGAAAAGGGGACTCAAGAGGAGAGAGACAGATCTACGCAGTTATCTGTTCCCAAAGTGTTCTCCGTAGCCCAGACACCCACAAAGATTCACAGAGTTGGATTGGGAAGAGAAGGGGAAAGGAGGAAACAGAGGTGTTCCGAAGTAGAAAACAGAGAGTCAAAAGTGGGAGAGTAATCACCACACTCCTGAATAGAAATGGGAACTGAATATTGGATTCTTAAATGACCAAAATTTATATCACATACTACTGAAAAACAAAGATTAAAAATCTAGAGTAGAGGTTAGACTCTTTGAAATACAATATTTAAAAACAAAAACACAAAAAAATTTAGAAATGTATATGAAGTTCAGTTTAAAAATAGGATTTCTCTCTCTCTCTTTTTTTTTTTTTGGCAAGGTTATAGTGAAATGAAAATGAAAATTAAGGAATAATGGAGGAGTATTAGAGGACTTTAAAAGGAAATAGGAGAGAAAAACAAGAAAAAGAAAAAAAACTTTTTTCCCTAATTAAAAAAATCGTAAAAAATATGAAAATGAAAGTTGAGGAGTAATGGGGGAGTAATAGGGAATTTTAAAAGAAAATAAAAGAGAAAAAATTTTTAAAAAGGAAAGAAAAAAAAATTTTTTTTAATTAAAAAAATATATACATATATATCTAGGAATTTCTCTGGAGTTGTTGCAGTCAGCGTAGGTTCAGTTCAATTTCAGATAGCTCCTCTTTCCAGCTTACACGTCTCGATATCTGTAGGCCCCTTCTGGTGTAGTCGGTGTTACCTTCAGGGATTTTAATCTGTTGCACTGGTCCTTTCTGAAGCGGTTCCCTTTGTTTAGTTGGCTTCTGTTTGCCGTCTCTTCGGTGTCTAATTTCCGCCCTGACACAGGCGGGCGGAGGTGATCTCTTATTTAGGTTCGCTAGTTCAGTTCAGTCCTGCTACGGGGAGGGCGGGGCGCTGCAGACAGATACCGCTCTGTGTGGACAGCACTCACCGTGTTCCGGCCACACTGGGTTTGCCCCGCTCACGGGTGTCAGTGCTTTCGCCGTCTACACTGCTCAGGCTCCCAGCTGCTCTATATGGAGCGGGCCCTGCGTTGAGTGCGGTTCCAGTTTTAGGGTACTCCACAAAAGCGCGGATTCGGTTGCGCCTGCGTTTTGTGCCTTCCCCGGCCTGAGCGGTTCAGGCAGCCAGAGGCTTGGGCGCACTCTCCCCGGGTGTGGTGCGCCTTTTCGCGGCGAGCGGCCCAGGCAGCCAGAGGCTTGGGCGCAATCTCCCCAGGTGCAGCGCGCCTTTTCCCTCCGCGTCCAGCGGCCCAGGCAGCCAGAGGCTTGGGCGCACTCTCCCCGGATGTGGTGCGCCTTTTCCCTCCGCGGCGGGCAGCTCAGGCAGCCAGAAGCTTGGGCGCACTCTCCCCGGGTACGGCGCGCTTTTTCCCTCCGCGGCCCCAGTGCGCGCCGCCAGTCGGGTCTCCGGGAGTCTTTAGATAGGAACCGGGGGCCTGTTTGCAGTGTGGGAGGGGGTGGCTTCTCAGGGGCTGAGTTTGCCCTTTTCCCCTCCCCCCTGCCTCCAACCTCCAGCGGGGATGGGCCGGCTCTTCTCTGGAGTTTCTCAGTCCCTTTGTTTTGCGAACCGCTGGCAGTGTGTTCGGCCGGTTAATTTTGACCCTTGCTATCCCACAGTTTAAAAAAGCTCCCTCCGATTGCTCTCAGGGTCTTCGGGCCAGTCCTTACGCTAAGCAATGCCGCCTGCTCCTCTCCGTTCCGCCCCCGCTTGTTGCTGGCGGGTACAGGCGTCTGGGGTACTTTTCTGCTGGGAGTTGCTTTTAGGCACGTAATCTGTGGGCCTTGTTTAATTTTTCCTCCCAGTTAGATTGCCGAAAACTTCCCCCAGTCCTGCCAGTGCGAGGGTTTCCTGGTGATTGGAAACTTCCTCTAGTAAGACTCCCTTCCCGGGACGGGTCTCCGTCCGTAGCTCTTTTGACTCCCTTTTTATCTTTTATATTTTGTCCTACCTCCCTTCGAAGACAATGGGCTGCTTTTCTGGGCGCCTGATGTCCTCTGCTAGCGATCAGAAGTTGTTTTGTGAAATTTGCTCAGCCTTCAAATGTTCTTTCGATGAATTTGTAGGGGAGAAAGTGGTCTCCCCATCCTATTCCTCCGCCATCTTAAGCCTCTTTTTTTTAGAAATAGAAAATTTTAACAGACCCATCAGTTCAGTTCAGTCACTCAGTCGTGTCCGACTCTTTGCGACCCCATGAACCGCAGCACATCAGGCCTCCCTGTCCATCACCAACTCCTGGAGTTCACCCAAACCCATGTCCATCAAGTCGGTGATGCCATCCAACCATCTCATCCTCTGTCATCCACTTCTCCTCATGCCCTCAATCTTTCCCAGCATCAGGGTCTTTTCAAATGAGTCAGCTCTTCGCATCAGGTGGTCAAAGTATTGGAATTTCAGCTTCAACATCAGTCCTTCCAGTGAACACCCAGGACTGTTCTCCTTTAGGATGGACTGGTTGGATCTCCTTGCAGCCCAAGGGACTCTTAAGAGTCTTGTCCAACACCACAGTTCAAAAGCATCAATTCTTTGGTGCTCAGCTTTCTTTATAGTCCAACCCTCACATCCATATATGACCACTGGAAAAACTATAGCCTTGACTAGATGGACCTTTGTTGGCAAAGTAATGTCTCTGCTTTTTCATATGCTGTCTAGGTTGGTCATAACTTTCCTTACAAGGAGTAGGCGTCTTTTAATTTCATGGCTGCAATCACCATCTGCAGTGATTTGGGAGCCCAGAAAAATAAAGTCAGCCACTGTTTCCCCATCTATTTGCCATGAAGTGATGGGACTAGATGCCATTATCTTACTTTTCTGAATGTGAAGCTTCAAGCCAACTTTTTCACTCTCCTCTTTCACTTTCGTCAAGAGGCTCTTTAGTTCTTCTTCACTTTCTGCCATAAGGGTGGTGTCATCTACATATCTGAGGTTATTGATATTTCTCCCAGCAATCTTGATTCCAGCTTATGCTTCCTCCAGTCCAGCGTTTCTCATGATGTACTCTGCATATAAGTTAAATAAGCAGGGTGACAATATACAGCCTTGACATACTCCTTTTCCTATTTGGAAGCAGTCTGCTGTTCCATGTCCAGTTCTAACAGTTGCTTCCTGACCTGGATACAGGTTTCTCAGGAGGCGGGTCAGGTGGTCTGACAGAATATGGTCCACTGGAGAAGGGAATGGCAAACCACTTCAGTATTCTTGCCTTGAGAACCCCATAAACAGTATGAAAGGGCAAAAAGATAGGATACTGAGAGGAACTCCCCAGGTCGGTAGGTACCCAATATGCTAGTGGAGATAAGTGGAGAAATAACTCCAGAAAGAATGAAGGGATGGAGCCAAAGCAAAAACAACACCCAGTTTTGAATGGGACTGGTGATGGAAGCAGGGTTCGATGATGTAAAGAGCAATATTGCATAGGAACCTGGAATGTTAGGTCCATGAATCAAGGAAAATTGGAAGTGGTCAAACAGGAGATGACAAGAGCGAACATCAACATTCTAGGAATCAGTGAACTAAGATGGACTGGAATGGGTGAATTTAACTCAGATGACCATTATATCTACTACTGTGGGCAAGAATCCGTTAGAAGAAAAGGAATAGCCATCATAGTCTTTTGTTAAGAGTCCGAAATGCAGTACTTGGATGCAATCTCAAAAACGACAGAATGATCTGTTTGTTTCCAAGGCAAACCATTCAATATCACGGTAATCCAAGTCTATGCCCTAACCAGTAACAGACCCATCCAAAGCACAGAAATTAAAACTAATCAGAAATCTTCCAGCAAACAAAAGCCCAGGACCGGATGGCTTCACAGCTGAATTTACCAAAAATATAAAGAGCTAACACCTGTCCTACTCAAACTCTTCCAGAAAATTGGAGAGGAAGGTAAACTTCCATACTCATTCTATGAGGCCACCATCACCCTAATTCCAAAACCAGACAAAGATGCTGCCAAAAAAAAAAAAAACCAAACTACAGGCCAATATCACTGATGAACATAGATGCAAAAATCCTTAACAAAATTCTAGCAAACAGAATCCAACAACATATTAAAAAGATCATACATCATGACCAAGTGGATTTTATCCCAGGAATGGAAGGATTCTTCAATATCTGCAATTCAATCAACGTAATACACCACATTAACAAATTAAAAGATAAAAACCATGATTATCTCAATAGATGAAGAGAAAGCCTTCGACAAAATTCAACATCCATTTATGATAAAAAAAAAAACCCTCCAGAAAGCAGGAATAGAAGGAACATACCTCAACACAATAAAAGCTGTATATGACAAACCCACAGCAAACATTATCCTCTATGGTGAAAAATTGAAAGCATTTCCCTTAAAGTCAGGAACGTGACAAGGGTGCCCATTCTCACCACTACTATTCAACATAGTTTTGGAAGTGTTGGCCACAGCAATCAGAGCAGAAAAAGAAATAAAAGGAACCCAGATTGGAAAAGAAGACATAAAACTCTCACTGTTTGCATATGACATGATCCTCTACATAGAAAACCCTAAAGACTCCACCAAAAAATTACTAGAGCTAATCAATGAATATAGTAAAGTTGCAGGATATAAAATCAACACACAGAAATCCCTTGCATTCCTATACACTAACAATGAGAAAGCAGAGAAATTAAGGAAATAATTCCATTCACCATTGCAATGAAAAGAATAAAATACTTAGGAATATATCTACCTAAAGAAACAAAACACCTATATATAGAAATTACTGATGAAGGAAATCAGAGAGAACACAAATAGATGGAGAAATATACCATGCTCATGGGTTGGAAGAATCAACATAATGAAAATGAGTATACTACCCAAAGCAATCTATAGAGTCAATGCAATCCCTATCAAGCTACCAATGGTATTTTTCACATAGCTAGAACAAATAATTTCACAGCTTGTATGGAAATACAAAAAACCTCGAATAGCCAAAGTAACCTTGAGAAAGAAGAATGGAACTGGAGGAATCAACCTGCCTGACTCAGGCTCTACTACAAAGCTACAGTCATCAAGAGAGTATGGTACTGGCACAAAGACAGAAATATAGATCAGTGAAACAAAATAGAAAGCCCAGAGATAAATCGATGCACCTATGGATACCTTATCTTTGGCAAAGGAGGCAAGAATATACAATGGACAAAAGAAAATATCTTTAACAAGTGGTGCTGGGAAAACTGGTCAACCACTTGAAAAAGAATGAAACTAGAACACTTTCTAACACCATACACAAAAATAAATTCAAAATGGATTAAAGATATAAATGTAAGACCAGAAACTATAAAACTCCTAGAGGAGAACATAGGCAAAACACTCTCCAACATAAATCACAGCAGGATCCTCTGACCCACCTCCCAGAGTAATGGAAATAAAACCAAAAATAAACAAATGGGACCTAATTAAACTTAAAGGCTTTTGCACAATGAAGGAAACTATAAGCAAGGTGAAAAACAGCCTTCAGAATGGGAGAAAATAATAGCAAATGAAGCAACTGACAAAATTAATCTCAAAAATATACAAGCAACTCCTGCAGCTCAATTCCAGAAAAATAAACGACCCAATCAAAAAATGGGCCAAAGAACTAAAGAGACATTTCTCCAAAGAAGGCATATACATGGCTAACAAACACATGAAAAGATGCTCAACATCACTCATTATCAGAGAAATTCAAATCAAAACCACAATGAGGTACCATTTCACGCCAGTCAGTATGGCTGCTATCCAAAAGTTTACAAGCAATAAATGCTGGAGAGGATGTGGAGAAAAGGGAACCCTCTTACCCTGTTGGTGGGAATGCAAACTAGTACAGCCACTATGGAGAACAGTTTGGAGATTCCTTAAAAAACTGGAAATAGAACTGCCATATGACCCAGCAATCCCACTGCTGGGCATACACACCAAGGAAACCAGAATTGAAAGAGACACATGTACCCCAGTGTTCATCACAGCACTGTTTATAAGAGCCAGGACATGGAAGCAACCTAGATGTCCATCAGCAGACGAATGGATAAGGAAGCTGTGGTATATATACACACCAGAATATTACTCAGCCATTAAAAAGAATACATTTGAATCAGTAATGAGGTGGATGAAACTGGAGCCCATTATACAGAGTGAATTAAGCCAGAAAGAAAAACACCAATACAGTATACTAATGCATATATATGGAATTTAGAAAGATGGTAATGATAACCCTGTATGCGAGACAGCAAAAGAGACACAGATCTATAGAACAGTCTTTTGGACTCTGTGGGAGAAGGCAAGGGTAGGATGATTTGAGACAATAGCATTGAAACATGTATATTATATGTGAAACAGATTGCCAGTCCAGGTTCGATGCATGAGACAGGGTGCTCGGGGCTGGTGCACTGGGATGACCCAGAGGGATGGGATGGGAGGAAGGTGGGAGGGGGGCTCAGAATGGGGACATATATACACCCACGGCTGATTCATGTCAATGTATGGCAAAAACCACTACAATATTGTAATTAGCCTCCAATTAAAATAAATAAATTTAAAGAAAATAAAAAAGTACAGAATAACTGAATAGACATTTCTCCAAAGAAGACAGACAGATGGCCATGAAACAATGCTCAACACTGCTAATTATTAGAGAAATGCAAATCAAAACTACAGTGAGATACCATCTAACCCAATCAGAATGGTGTTCATCAAAAAGTCTACAAACAATAAATACTGGAGAGAGTGTGGAGAAAGGGACCCCTGTACACTGTTGATGAGAATGTAAATTGCTGTAGCCACTACGAAAAACTGTATGGAGGTTCCTTAAAAAACTGAAAATAAGAGTACCCAATATACTTTGGCCACCTGATGCGAAGAGCTGACTCATTTGAAAAGACCCTGATGCTGGGAAAGATTGAGGGCATGAGGAGAAGTGGATGACAGAGGATGAGATGGTTGGATGGCATCACCGACTCAATGGACATGGGTTTGGGTGGACTCTGGGAGTTGGTGATGGACAGGGAGGCCTGGCGTGCTGTGGTTCATGGGGTTGCAAAGAGTCAGACATGACTGAGCAACTGAACTGAACTGAACTGAACTGAATGATCTAGCAATCCCACTCCTGGGCATATATCTGAAAAAAACTAATTCAAAAAGATACATGCACCCCTATGTTCAGAGCAGAAATAATTACAAGAGCAAAGACGTGGAAGCAATCTAAATGTCCATTGACAGGTGAATGGGTAAAGTTTATAGTCAATGTATACATAATGGAATATTTCTCAACCATAAAAGAGAATAAAATAAAACCATCTGCAGCAACATGATGAACCTAGAGATTATCATACTAAGTGAAGTAAGACAGGGACAGATAAATACTATATATGATTTAACATGTGGAATTAGAAATGATACAAATGAATTATTTATACAAGAAACAGACTCACAGACATAGAAAACAAATTTATGATTACCAAAGGGGACAACGGGGAGGGAGAGGGAGGAATAAATTAGGAGTGCAGCATTAACAGTTACATACCACTATGCGTAAAACAGACTTGAAAGAAAAACAATACAAGGATTTACTGTTCAGCATGGGGAAAAAACACTTTTCCCAGTCATAGGCGAGGATGCTCCCTCCCAGATTTACTGTGGAGGCTTTTTCAGATTACCGCTAACCCAATCACTTACCTAGAAGCTTTGGCTAGTTCTCAGAATCAAACCACATAATTGCTACTGTGCCACATGGAAGCCTGACACAGGGGCTGCAGAGCCCACTGCAGGGATGAAGGCCTCCAAGTGGTATCGAACCCTCCCTGCGGCACTGGAAGTCACTGAACAGCCCGAGTTTAGAGCTCACCTGTGACATCTCCACAATGGGTAGCATTATGTCAGCTCTAGGTTATATTCCAGTTCAGTTCAATTCAGTCGCTCAGTCGTGCATCCCTTTGCGACCCCATGGACTGCAGCACACCAGGCCTCCCTGTCCATCACCGACTCCCAGAGCTTATTCAAACTCATGTCCATCAAGTTGGTAATGCCACCCAACCATCTCATCCTCTGTCATCCCCTTCTTTTCAATCTTTCCCAGCATCAGGGTCTTTTCTAATGAGTCAGCTGTTTGCATCAGGTGACCAAAGTATTGGAGTTTCAGCTTTAGCATCAGTCCTTCCAATGAACACCCAGGATTGATCTCCTTTAGGCGGGACTGGTTGGACTGATCTCCTTGCAGTCCAAGGGACTCTCAAGCGTCTTCTCCAACACCACAGTTCAAAAGCATCAATTCTTCAGTGCTCAGCTTTCTTTATAGTCCAACTCTCACATCCATATATGACTAATGGAAAAACCATCGCTTTGACTAGACAGATCTTTGTTGGCAAATTAATGTCTGCTTTTTAATATGCTGTCTAGGTGGGTCATAGCTTTTCTTCCAAGGAGCAAGCGTCTTTTATTTCATGGCTGTAGTCACCATCTGCAGTGATTTTGGAGCCCCCTAAAATGAAGTCTGTCACTGTTTCCACTGTTTCCCCATCTACTTGCCATGAAGTGATGGGACTGGATGCCATGATCTTATTTTCCCGAATGTTGGGTTTTAAGCCAACTTTTTCACTCTCTGCTTTTACTTTCATCAAGAGGCTCTTTAGTTCTTCTTCACTTTCTGCCATAAGGGTGGTGGCATCCGCATATCTGAGGTTATTGATATTTTCCCCAGAAATCTTGATTACAGCTTCTGACAAAAATGGTCCATTGGAGAAGGGAATGGCAAACCACTTCAGTATTCTTGCCTTGAGAACCTTGTGAAGAGTATGAAAAGGGAAAAAGATAGGAAACTGAAAGATGAACTCCCCAGGTCGGTAGGTGCCCAATATGCTACTGGAGGTCAGTGGAGAAATAACTCCAGAAAGAATGAAGAGACAGAGCCAAAGCGAAAACAACACCAGTTGTGGATGTGACTGATGGTGACTGGTGATGGAAGCAAGGTCTGATGCTGTAAAGAACAATATTGCATAGGAACCTGGAATGTTAGGTCCATGAATCAAGGCAAATTGGAAGTGGTCAAACAGGAGATGGCAAGAGTGAACGTCGACATTTTAGGTATCTGTGACTAAAATGGAATGGAATGGGTGAATTTAACTCAGATGACCATTGTATCTATGACTGTGGGCAAGAATCCCTTGGAAGAAATGAAGTAGCCATCATAGTCAACAAAAGAGTCCGAAATGCAGTGTTTGGATGCAATCTCAAAAATGACAGAATAATCTCTATTCATTTCCAAGGCAAGCCATTCAATATCATGGTAATCCAAGTCTATGTCCCAATTGGTAATGCTGAAGAAGCTGAAGCTGAATGGTTCTATGAAGACCTACAAGACATTCTAGAACACCCAAAAAAGATGTCCTTTTCATTATAGGGGACTGGAATGCAAAAGTAGGAAGTCAAGAAACACCTGGAGTAACAGGCAAATTTGGTCTTGGAGTACAGAATGAAGCAGGGAAAAGGCTAAGAGTTTTGCCAAGAGAACGCACTGGTCATAGCAAACACCCTCTTCCAACAACACAAGAGAAGACTCTACACGTGGACATCACCAGATGGCCAACACCAAAATCAGATTGATTATATTCTTTGCAGCCAAAGATGAAGAAGCTCTATACAGTCAGTAAAAACAAAACCAGGAGCTGACTGTGACTCTGATCATGAACTCCTAATTGCAAAATTCAGACTTAAATTGAAGACACTAGGGAAAACCACTAGACCATTCAGGTATGACCTAAATTATAATTCCTTACCATTGTACAGTGGAAGAGACAAACAGATTCAAGGGATTAGATATGATAGACAGAGTGCTTGAAAAACTATGGATGGAGGTTCGTGACATTGTACAGGAGGCAGTGATCAAGACCATCCCCAAGAAAAAGAAATGCCAAAAGGCACAATGGTTTTCTGAGGAGGCCTTACAAAGAGCTGTGAAAAGAAGAGAAGGAAAAGGCAAAGGAGAAAAGGAAAGATATACCCATTTGAATGCAGAGTTCCAAAGAACAGCAAGGAAAGATAAGAAAGCCTTCCTCAGTGATCAATGCAAAGAAATAGAGGAAAACAACAGAATGGGAAAGACTAGAGATCTCTTCAAGAAAATTAGAGTTACCAAGGGAACATTTCTTGCAGAGATGGGCACAACCAAGGACAGATATGGTATGGACCTAACAGAAGCAGAAGATATTAAGAAGAGGTGGCAAGAATACACAGAAGAACTATACAAAAAAGATCTTCATGACCCAAATAACCATGATGGTGTGATCACTCACCTAGAGCCAGGCATCCTGGAATGCGAAGTCAAGTGGGCCTTAAAAAGCATCACTGTGGGGGGAAAAAAAAAAAAGCATCACTATGAACAAAGCTAATGGAGGTGATGGAATTCTAGTCGAGCTATTTCAAATCCTAAAAGATGACGCTGTGAAAGTGCTGCACTCAATATGTCAGCAAATTTGGAAAACTCAGCAGTGGCCACAGGACTGGAAAAGGTCAGTTTTCATTCTAATCCCAAAAAAAGGCAATGTCAAAAAATGCTCAAACTACCACACAATGGCACTCATCTCACACACTATGTAATTAAATCTCAAAATTCTCCAAGCCAGGCTTCAACAGTACATGAACCGTAAACTTCCAGATGTTCAAGCTGGTTTTAGAAAAGGCAGAGGAAGCAGAGATCAAATTGCCAACATCCGCTGGATCATTGAAAAAGCAAGAGAGTTCCAGAAAAACATGTACTTCTGCTTTATTGACTACACCAATGCCTGTGTGGATGACAACAAACTGTGGAAAATTATTCAAGAGATGGGAATACCAGACCACCTTGCCTGCTTCCTGAGAAATCTGTATGCAGGTCAAGAAGCAACAGTTAGAACTGGACATGGAACAACAGACTGGTTCCTAACTGAGAAAGGAGTACATCAAGGCTGTATATTGTTACCCTGCTTATTTAACTTATATGCAGAGTACATCATGGAAATGCTAGACTGGATGAAGCACAAGCTGGAATCAAGATTGACGGGAGGTTATATTCCAAACTTGCGCAATTTAGAACTCTGCCTGGGACTACAGTTAGCTTGCAAACAAAGGAACTAACCTGCTCAAATGGCATGCCCACTTTGGCCATCCTTTCATAAAGAGACATTCAAGTCAAGTTAGAACGGGGTCTACCTCCCTGTAACATGCTCCAGAAAAGAAGTGAAAAGACTCTTCTGGGTGCAGTCTGTCAGCAGAAAGCCCTTCTTGGCAGAGGGCGGAACAGGGGTGAGGAGACAAGAGTAAAAAAAGGCGCAAGTCCTCACCTGGTCTGCTGCTCAGCAGAGGGGTCTCCCAGGGGCAAGTCAGGATGTAGGAGTGTTCGCAGGCATGCAATGGGATACTGACCAGCTCCTCGCTGCACAGACCCAGCTCGTATGCCCACTACAGACGGACAGAGGGATGGGTGGGTGGAGAGGAACAGAAGGACACGTGAGCAGGTGCAGCCTCTTGAGACGAGTGTCATTTCAAGCGGCTCCTGGGCCCTCCCGCCCCAACTGTGGGAAGTTGTGGGAAGCCAACTTCCAGCTTTAGTTCCTAACGTTTTCGGAGGGGAGCAACATGGTACCAGATGAGCCACAAAGTCTGCTTTCTGAGCAGAGAAGACAGAGTCACCAGCTCGGAAGAGGAGCTTGTGGGGAGCGAGTGAGGCCCTTTGAACGAAACGCCAGGCCTCAACTGCGAACCCCAAACACCGACCATGAAGACGTCCACATGGCAGAAAGTACTCCCAGGTGCCCTTAAGACTGTGGAGGGGGGCAAGGGACCAACCTGCCGTCAGAGCTGCAGGCTTTAGTGTCCTGGACACGGGACCCACGCTCCCGACACAGGAGCACCCCCAACGCGCATCTGCTGGTGGTGGGATGACACGAACCACCACACAGCCCCGACCAGGGACCGGGCGCTGTCCACACTGACTCTCTGGGCCTCCCTGAGCAGGGCTGACCCTCGGCCGGGAAGGAGCAGGGACGGTTGACCGACTTCCACACGAGGGGTGAGGGCAGGCTTCCCGTTTGGAGGGGGGGGATTCTGAGTTTTCCCGGCCAAATAAGAAACAGTGTGTCCCAGATGCCTGCTTAGTCCATTAGAAAACTAGCCTTACGTCTGTACCCCAAAATCCTGGAGACAAAAGTTAAATAAGAAAGTCAGTGACCAGTCTTGTCACTAACCTACCTGACCAGCACAGTTGACAAAATACTGGCACTGGATCTGTCCTTTATCTGTCTCCACACCGGTGACTTGACCTCTTTTGACCATAACATGAAGACTTGTGTGGCTGTTTGTCAGAGGGACAGTAGTCCTAATGCAAGATCTTATTTCCCTGTCTAGGCATTGAACCTAACTGCTGGTCCACCAAGGGCTAGAGGCTAGAAGCAAAGTTCCCTTCTTCTTACCCCATTTGAAAGCAAAAATGTTTTAAGGAGGCAAAAGCTGCCAAACAAGTATAAAGTTTATTATCAGAGAGACAGCACAATATATGGGAGAGCACACAGAGAAATGGTTTATTTATGTCAGAAGCAGGGCAGAAATACACCCGGAGAGGAATGTGGACAGGCCTCCTGGATGAGTAGCACTTGCATCTTGTTTCTTCACACAGCTGGTCCAGGACCCTGCCCAAGATGTGAGCACAACATTTTCTAAGATGATCCCGCCACAGAGGCCTGTGGTGCAGGTCCACCCTGATCATGGGGTGGCACCCTCCCTTTTCGACCCTCAAGAAGACTTCCTGTGCATGTACAGATAGGGAAGTCTTTCTCCACCTCAAGAGGGGGACCTTATCTCTTTACTTTAGCAGAGCTCAGCTTTTGACACAGGCTTTGTCCTTGGAGTGTCTGAGTGAGAACAAAGGGTGAATTTTACTCTACTTGTCAAACTCCAGCTGTCTCACTCAGAGGCTCATCTGTCTCCCACCTCACAGTCACAGATCTGAACTGAGGCCCATTACTGTGTGAATGGGCCTTTCCCAAGACCGAAAATACCAGCCAACTGAAGCCATAATCGAATTCCAGGGATCATGGGACTTCCCTGGTGGCCCGGTGGTTCTGGTCCACACTTCCACTGCAGGGGGCCTGGGTTCCATTGCTGCCTGGGAACCGAAGTCCCACAAGGGGCATGGCACAGCCAAACAAAAGTCCAGGGATCATAAAAGGGGCAGGAGAGAAACAGCGCCACAGGGCCTCCTCAATCCTCATCGACCCACACCACGACCCAGTTCATCCAGAGTGGACAACACGATGGATCAGCCTTCCCCTCGTTCATTCCAACCCTGGGATGTGACCCCCGCTGTGCACTGAATCCCCAAGGCGTGTGCCAGCCTTGGAGCTTCTCAAGTCCTGTGGAAGGAAAAAGGCCCTTACATCTAAAACGCTCTAAGCAGGACTAGAAGCAGTGCCTAGGACACTTAACAAGAAAAACGTGGCCCTGAGGGAAACTGTGTTCACAGGTACTGCGTCGAGACAAAAACTCAGAGCCGCCAGCCGGAGTTCCGCCACAGAAACTGGCTGGTGCCCTGCCACCGGGCAGCGCTCTCCTGACGCCCGTCTTCCTCGCCCCACGCCCACTCACCGTTCTGGGAGGCGGCACTGGCCAGGGCGAGCGCCACGTCGGCGGAGGACACCACCGCGTCCTCGGGGACGTGCATGGCGCCCACCAGGTCATGCACGTTGAGCAGAGGGTGCAGCTCGGCCACTCTCCTGGGGGAGACGATCTCGCAAGGGATGCCTATGACACTGGCACAGAACACAGGGGCACAATGACATTCCCCGGCCTCCGCAGAGGTCAGCTGACAGGAAGTCGGGACGGGCTCAGCCTCATACATACTTCAGCCTCGAGCTGATGCGCTTCAGGGAGATGAGCCGGTCCTGAGTTTGGGCCAGAAAGATGGAGCCCGTCCTAGTGTAACCTGGAAGGGAAAGCAGCCCAAACTCAGACAGACCGGGCCACCTGTGGGGGCGCAGTGGGAGCCCACCAGACAGTAAGTCAGACGGCCTGCGAGGAGTCCTGGACTGCAGGCTCAGCTCACGGCTCTGTGACCCGTCCCTCCCTCACCCCTTCCGGTGACCAGGCCCTTTCTCCACCGGTCCCTGGTGGGCACGGGCCCATGGAGATGGCTGCTCTCAATGCAGCCACAGGCCTGTGACCTATGCTCAGCTCATCTGACCTCCTGGACACTGGGTCTTGGGCCAGGAGAGAAGGCGGAGGTCCATCCTCTCATCTCAGGAGCAGCAGCATCCTGGCCAGCGCACTCCCCTTCCAGCTGAGGGCCTGGGTCGTCACCACCCGGCTCCACCCTGCCTCTGGCTGGCAGCCTCCTCCCACCCCACAGGCCCCGCTGGCCTTCCAGAAGCTCCTTGTTGTCGCCCAGCTTAGCCCCAGGCGAGCCCTGGTGTCTGCAGTCAACGTACTGGATGTGACCACTACGAAAACTGAGTCAATGACAATCCTCCCAGATGCAGTGTCTTATCAGTTCTCATGAAGAAAAGCTTGAATCAGTCACATGTCTATTTAAAATGGAAACAGTCATGATAATTTAAGTATTTTCTTATTCCTTTGAAATCATCAGATAAATATGGCCTTTGCTGACATGACAAGATTGTTAAGTTTGGAGAACTGAAATTTCAGAGCATGGTTTTTATAAGTGGTAGATGTTGCCTCAATATATTTAGTCCTTTCCTCAACCTTAGGATACATAGAAAGCATAAATGTCCATACCCCTGTGAAAAATAAACTTGCTAATTACAGTCAATGTTTGTTCACATTTCCTTTCGTCTTTGAGTGAAGGTAGCGTCAAAACCTTCAGAAGGTTTTGGTATGGTAGGAAGTCCCTGGGTTTTGTTTTGTTTTGTTTTGTTTTTCCCCTCTACAGTAAAGCTGTTATTCATCTGAAATGCAAGTAGGTTATTTCTGGTAGTGTTCCAATGTAGGCTCCCCCCAAACCTGATGGTTTTGAGTATGCAGAATGTTCACATCATTCTAAAAGTAAAAACTACACAAAGTCAAGCCAGAAATATCAATACCCGCCTCCATGCCCCAACCCTTTACCCCATTTCCCACTTACACTGGCAGGTAACCAACCTCAGTACTTTATGCTTTAGCCTTCCAATATTTCTTTTTTTGCAAAAATGACTATATATTTGCATATTTTCTTACTTCTTCTTAGCTCTTACACAAATGTAGCATGTTTTATATACTTTTTAGCACCTTCTTTTTCTCATGTAACAATGTATCCCAGAGATTACTTCATAGCAGTTCACAGACATCTTCCTCCTCCTTTTCACATCTACCTAATAGTCTAATAAAGTGGCTGTTCCACTTTATTTTATGAATATCATATCAGTTCAGTCACTTGGTTGTGTTCGACTCTTTGTGACCCCATGGACTGCAGCACGCCAGGCCTCCCTGTCCATCACCAACTCCCGGAGCTTACTCAGACTCATGTCCATTGAGTCGATGATGCCATCCAACCATCTCATCCACTGTCGTCCCCTTCTCCTCCTGCCTTCAATGTTTCCCAGCATCAGGGTATTTTCTAATGAGTCAGTTCTTCACATCAGGTGGCCAAAATATTGGAGCTTCAGCTTTAGCATCAGTCCTTCCAATGAATATTCAGGACTGATTTCCTTTAGGATGGACTGATTGGATCTCCTTGCAGTCCAAGGGACTCTCAAGAGTCTTCTCCAGCACCACAGTTCAAAAGCATCAATTCTTCGGTGCTCAGCTTTCTTTATAGTCCAACTCTCACATCCATACATGACTACTGGAAAAACCATAGCGTTGACTAGATGGACTTTTGTTGGCAAAGTAATGTCTCTGCTTTTTAATATGCTGTCTAGTTTGGTTATAACTTTTCTTCCAAGGAGTAAGTGTCTTTTAATTTCATGGCTGCAGTCAACATCTGCAGTGATTTTGGAGCCCCCAAGATAAAGTCTGTCACCGTTTCCATTGTTTCCCCATCTACTTGCCATGAAGTGATGGGACCAGATGCCCTGACCTTAGTTTCCTGAATGTTGAGTTTTAAGCCAATTTTTTCACCTCCTCTTTCACTTTTATCAAGGGGCTCTTTAGTTCTTCCTTTTCTGCCATAAGGGTGGTGTCATCTGCGTATCTGAGGTTATTGATATTTCTCCCAGCAATCTTGATTCCAGCTTGTGCTTCATCCAGCCTGGCATTTCACGTGATGTATTCTGCATATAAGTTAAATAAGCAGGGTGACAATATACAGCCGTGGCATACTCCTTTCCTGATTTGGAACCAGTCTGTTTTTCCATGTCCAGTTCTAACTGTCGCTTCTTGACCTGCATACTGATTTCTCCTGAGGTAGGTCAGGTGGTCTGGTATTCCGGGGATCAAACCCAGGTCTCCCGCATGGCAAGCAGATGCTTTACCCTCTGAGCCACCAGGGAAGCCCCCCTCCCAATAACGTATGCATATCATTTAAATGCAATCTTACAGTTTCAATTAAATAGTGTTACAATAAGTAATCTTGTACATGTGTATTTTTGTAGAAGACATTGTCAAGTGGAAAAAAAACAAGGTACATAATAAACATAATAAGATGTTTAATACCATCTCAGTTTTGGCTAGAAGAAAAGGTATACCTGCATACACATATAGACTAACTTTTGGTGGGTATTCAGTGGGGAGATCACTTCTTATTTTTTTTTTTTCACTTCTTATTTTTATATTTCTGTATCGTTCACATTTATTATAATGAGTATATAGCATTACATATGTTTTAAACTTTTAAGACGTTACATGTAACCCAAAGTAATTTTTAAAAATTGATTTATGACTAACTTGATAAATTGGCTTAATCTACCTCTATCTAGGTTTATCATCTATAAAAAAATGATCCTTCCTTATTAGAAGATCAATATGTGGAAGACTTTCAAAAGGTTATTAAAACTTTTAGATTATCACATTCCATCACTTGATAAAAGTTGTATCAAGTAGAAAAAAAAGCACTTCAGAAACTAATTTTGCATACTGAGGACTCTTGAAGTGACCTAGCAACTCCAGGTAGAAAGCAGTTAACACACATCTCAGGTGAATGAACTATTTTCAGACGATTAGTTTATGTATGTTATTAAATCTAGGCTGCAGAGACATCATTTAGTGTCACAAAGCAGTCCACTGAACCACCGCGGTCATGGGAGCGCACACCCGCCCACTCTGCCGGACAACAGACGCCTCCGTCTGGGAAGACCCCCGTCGTCTCACTGCGGCACTGGTGGGCTGCACCGGGGGTGACAGACCGAGGGGGTGCCCTTGCTCTCGGTTGCCTGACTTCCTCACGGCCCCACAGGCACCAGGGAGAGATCGGGCCCAACAAGGGGTTCTGGACGGTGACCCAGAACAAAGGCTAGACTCGGTTATCTTCCAGAAAAGAAGCCTGCAGCCCCAATCCCTGCGGACTCTAGCAGCTGAGGAATCTAGTGCCAGGCTCAGCAAAGCGCGAGCCACTGAACCAAGGGACCAGGAGTCAGCGGTGCCCCCTCTGGGCCTGTGTGGACCCTCTTCCGACCCAGACCCTGGTTAATGCCTGATTCAAGGACCTTGTTGCCATGAAATTTTATCCAACAAAAAGGACTATTTCCCAGCTACCTTGCCTATAGCAGGCTCTATCCCTTGTAAAAGCCCGAGGCAGCGCAGCAGTAGGAACCACATCCTCTGTATTCACTCAAGAGCCTCTGCCTCTCGGGGGACACCTGGCCAAGGCAACACCTGAACCCCACTCAGCCTCACACGGCGGCAGGAGTCAGGGTGAGGCCAGGGGGCGCTGGGGCACGCCGCGCCGCGTCCGTGGGGCAAACACTCAACCACGCGCCAGCACCGGGCCAGGCCAGGGCCGCGCGGCCTCACCCGGGCCCCAGGCCAGCCGCGCGCCTGGGAGTACAGCGCACCCTTCTCCTTCCCCGCTTCGTTGCTCTCTTTGCGACTCCTTGATTCACTGCCAGGTAAAACAGCCTAGTGTTTTACAAGCACTCGTCTCTAGACGTTTCATCTTAATCGGCACTTCACAAATACGGTTAGGCTTCCTAGAAGTATGAATCATATGAAATGAAAAAGTTGCAAAGCCTTACTTTGAAATAAAAATTCCATAGATGTCAGTTTTCATTCCACCGCCGCAGACGACCACCTGCGCCTGGGCGGGCAGGGCCACGGGGGGCGCCGCGGCCGCTGACGCGCTGCCTCTGGCCGGGGAGCCCTTCCGCCATCCTCGGCGGCTTCCCGGTCCTCCGACCACCGCCAGCAGCCGGGGCAGCATCACGTGTGTCAGCCACGGGCGCCGCGCTCTCGCTCAGCCACGCAGATCCCAGGGATTCACACTAGACAGAGGAAACCAAAGGTGTCACTCCACTGCACCCAGAGCACAGGGCGAACGAGAAAAGTCGGAAACCCAGAACGGTCGCTGTTCACTCAGCAAACGTTTCAGGCCTTCCTGAGTTCCGGACACGCCGCTAGGTGGAACACAGCGGTGAAGACAAACGAGGAGGTCCCTGCCTTTACACACTCGCCTCTGAGAGCGGGGGACCAGCACCAGTATACAAGCAAAATAAGGAACAGAGCTAACAGCACGGTCAGTGGGGCACACTCAGAACACGGCGGTCAGAGAGGAGGCGTTTGAAGAGACTCGGATGACAGAAAACCAGCTGCGTGAGGGCGGAAGCAGCAGCGTGCGCGAGGCCTGGAGAGGCAGAGCTCGAGGGGTCAGCCCAGAAGAGGCGACAGCGTGTGCCCAGCACGTGAGGGGGGCCAGCTGAGGCCGCGCTGGAGGGGCGGGGACCAACCACGCGGGGCTCCGGGGTCCCCGCGGGAGGCCACGCTGGAGGGGCGGGGACCAACCACGCGGGGCTCCGGGGTCCCCGCAGGAGGCCGCGCTGGAGGGGCGGGGACCAACCACGCGGGGCTCCGGGGTCCCCGCAGGAGGCCGCGCTGGAGGGGTGGGGACCAACCACGCGGGGCTCCGGGGTCCCCGCAGGAGGCCGCCTTGGAGGGGTGGGGACCAACCACGCGGGGCTCCGGGGTCCCCGCAGGAAGCCGCCTTGGAGGGGCAGGGACCAACTACGTGGGGGCTCCGGGATCCCCACGAACAGCAGGGTTTACTCTCAGTGCAAGGGAAAAGACTAAAGCAGGGGTGACGTGTTCTGCCCTGTTTCTCCAGGGTGAGGCTGGCTGCACGGAAGGCTCCCAGGAGGACAGGGAAAGCAGAGGTGAGCCAGGACACTGTCGCAGTTCTCAAGGAGACGCCAAGATGGCTCAGATGAGGATGGGGCAGCGGAGTCAGAGAAACGACTGGATCGTTTGGGAAACAGACATGACAGAACTTACTTGCCAACAACTGATGCTAAAATGGGGAAAACGGAGAGATAAGGATGATGGCCCAGTCTATGGGTTAAACAACCATGTGAGAAGGATCAGACACGGTGGAGGCTGTGAGGGTGTGAGTGAGCAGAGTGTAAGGTAAGGTTCCACAGAGTCAACAGCCGGAGACCCAGCAGGCAGCTCAGGGAACACGGAGCAGCTGGTGCCCAAGCCCAAGACTGCCGTCTCTGAGGTGCCCGGAGCAGAAGCAGGAACTGGACCCCTTGCACAGCACCGAGTGGGTGGGCAGACCACCTGCCCGCCCCTGGACCCTCCACCACTCGCCCCAGCCTCGCCCACCCAGGGAGCAGCCTGCTCTCCTCTGCAGGAGCCACCAAGGGCACCTGCCATTGGTTTGCGCTCTCATGTCTCAGCCCGACTCCCAGTAAAGCCGTGCCTGAGCTTCTATTGATTAACGAGTCCTAGGACCCACTTTGGGAGAAGGCAGTGGCACCCTACTCCGGTAGTCTTGCCTGGAAAATCCCATGGACAGAGGACCCTGGTGGGCTGCAGTCCATGGGGTCGCACAGAGTCGGACACGACTGAGTGACTTCACTTTCACTTTTCAGTTTCATGCATTGGAGAAGGAAATGGCAACCCACTCCAGTGTTCTTGCCTGGAGAATCCCAGGGACAGCAAAGCCTAGTGGGCTGCCATCTATGGGGTCGCACAGAGTCAGACACTACTGAAATGACTTAGCAGCAGCAGCAGCAGCAGAACCCACTTTGACATGAGGGACCCAGCGTGGATGCTGCAGCGTCCATGAACCCTGGGCAGTGGCAGGAACTGACCAAGGAGACTCTGCTAGTTGGGCTGCATATGACCAAGGCACGATTTTAACAGAATTAATGCAACAGCAAAATAGAGAAGTCGTCAAGCTTCAAGAAACTGCAGACAGACCTGCTGGCAGAGCACACAGTCGCAGAAGCACAGCAAGAGGCGGCCTTAGGAGTGCCGAGCAGACATCACGGCGGCACGTGGTGAGCAAACCCCCACCTCCTCCATGACGGCCCCAGCACCCATGTGCTGCCATCAGCCCCAACCATCCAAGGCCAAGGTATCGATGCGCGTCTGTCAGGGGACTTGGATCCGTGACCAACGCAGGCACAGACCGTGTCCCAGGAGGAATCCCAGGCAGCCAGGGGCCAACCATCCTGGCTACCTGGTATCCCACCGCGCCTGAGGTCCCTGTCAAACGCTGCCTCAAGATGGAAGGTTGTCCACACAGTGAGCCTTGTTGCAAAAGCTCAACTCCGCATCACCAATTTCTCTCCCCAGTTCCAATCCCTCTCTGCTCTCCTCCCCTTCAAACATCTCCACTGTGCCTTCGAGAACTTCCTTTCTGAAGTCATTCACCCACCCCTTTCAGATAGGCTGGAACCTGAGACCTGGGGACCTTTCCTGCAATGCTTATACCTGGATGTCTTGTTGAACAACAAAATATAAAGAAACCATGTGTTTTGCATGCTCAGTCGTGTCAGACTCTTCAGTCCCAGGGACTGTAGCATGCCAGGCTCCTCTGTCCATGGAATTTTTCAGACAAGAATACAAGGAATGGGTTGCCAATTCCTACTCCAGGGCAACTTCCCAATCCAGAGATCGAACCCACGTCTCTTGGGTCTCCTACACGTGCAGGAGGATTCTATACCCCTGCACAGCCTGGGAATCCCAAAGGAAACTATAAGGGACTAAAAATAAGTGTGCATGTGCAGCTGGGGCTAATTATGGACAAGATACAGAAAGACCAAAAAAGCCCAACTGCCACCTTTGAAGAGCCAAGAGCAAAAGCAGGGCACTGCACACACCCCTGCAGATGGCACCACCAAAGGGGCAGGCAGACCCCCTCAGCCAGCCCTCCAGCAGACCCCTGGACCCTCCCCTACTCGCACGTCAATAAGGAACAGGCCGCCCCCCTCTCAGGGAGCCAGCAAGCAAGAGAAACTGATACTTGTGGGTCCCTCTGGCTACAGCAGGGACCCAATAAAGCCACACCTGCATTTCTTGTCTAGCCTCTAGTCAATTTCCACTGAACAAGGAGGCCAGAGAACCTGGTTGGTAACATATATTGTGGGGACACCACAAAGTGACCACAAAGGGACAGATGTGCGTTTCCCAGGGGAGGGTCTGGGCACCCCCAGGACTCGAATGCACCTTCTCCATGGGTGACAGGTGGCTGCCTGAAGCTCCTGTTTCAACGTCACCGCATTTGGTAAGTCTGCCCTGACTGGCCCCCATTTCTTGCCAATCTCGCAGATGAGAGTCCCGCACACTGATGGGGCCCCAGAACCTGCCCAGCTCCAGATCCCACCTGATCCATCCTCATCACTCCAGCAGAGCCTCAAGTCACCCTCGATGTGGCAGGCAGGAGAAGTGAACTTCCTCTAGACCCCAGAGCTGCCCACTCTGGTCTGACCTGGCCAGCTGGCCGCTCTCCAACTGTGACTGTACTGTGGCAGCAGTGATGGACAGCCAAAGGTAAGCTGATTCACGTCTCCCCTTGCCTGTGGAACCGGGTCCGTTATTATTACTCACTTATTTTTGTATCAACATATGCCAGGATGCCCTGTGCTCCTCCTCAAGAGAGATCTGCTAAATGAATTGAGAGCTAGTATATTCTTAGGACAGAGTGAAGTCCAAGGAGGTAGAGAATTCAAACAGAGAATGCATCTCCTAGTAGCTGTAGATGACCCACCTGCTGGTCATCAAAATATTCCCCAAGACATCCCCCAAGAAGTTAGAGAACAAGCAGATCCTGAAGTCTGGGACACCTCTGGGCCAGGAAAAGCAAAATGTATTCTCCCAATAAAATAAGGTTAAGGTCTGGGGGAAAAGACCCTTAGAAAAGACAACATCCTTTAAAGCCTGAGAGGAATCCAGTAGCTGCTCATGGTCCTAAAATACAGACTCATCAGGCCCTGCCAACCCCCTTACAGCACCTCGAGCCTGCCGGCTCAGAAGCTTCATGGGGAGTGCTGGTTTGTTCAGGACTTATAAGTGGTGAAGGAGCAGTCATCCCTATTCACCCACTGCTGCCCAATCCTGCACCCTCCCACCCCAAGAGACAGGAGCGCTAGGAAATTCTTTGGACTGGACCTCAAAGATGCATTTTCCTGTATTTCCCTACATCCAGACTCTCAATATTCTTTTGCCTTTGAAGGGAAGGACACTGATACCCTGAAGGCCCCCAGTATACCTGGACGGTGCTTCCTCAGAATTCTGGAGATGGCCTCCATGTTTTTGGAAATGCATTAGCAAGGGAACTGAGCTTTGAGGACAGAACTCTGCCAGAATATATTTATGATTAATGATAAGTAGTAAGACCAAACAAGATTCAGATCACAATAGGACTGTTAGGGTTCTAAACTTTCAGGCAAAAAGGAGATATAAAGTCTCCCCAGACAAGGCTCACAAGATTTCACAACAGCATTTCAATATTTAGGATTTGTTTTCACCTTAAGGGCATAAGCTGTGGCCTCAGACTGAAAAAGAGCAATTAAGTGCACTACCATCTCCAACCACAAACAGACAACCCAGAAGCTTTCTCGGGATGGCTGGGTTCTGTCATATCTGTATTCCCAATTATGGCCTTGAAGCAAAACCCCTGTAAGAGGCTCTAAAGGGAGAAGGAAGGGGACCCCTTCGATGGAACAGGGATCACCAGGCGGCCTTTGAGACGCTATAAAGACTGAGCACAGCACAGCACTGGGGCTTCCAAATCTGGACCAGCCCCTCACCCT